CACAAACTTTTATTATTTAAAATTCCATCTAACAAATTAAGTACCAACTACACGTTTTAATGGCATGTTCTTCTCATATAGATACTATATATATATATATTTAAGAGCCATGTAACACGCACCTATATATACATACAATATATACAATATATATATATATATGAGTATAGTAGAATAAGTACATAGAGATGGCGAAGTAAAGAGGGCTTGAGAACCCTTAGACAGCAGCCCTTATCGTGGTATTGGCATTCTACCCTCAAGCAGAATATATAATTCATAGGCGGCTTAACGCAAAGAAGATGTTATTGACATTCTTGGCTATACAGAAAGAGACAGACAAAGACAGCCAGTCAGAAAGAGTGAGAGAGAGAGAGAGACCAGAGAGAAAGAGTGAGAACATTTTGTCAAAGAAAATTCATTTAAATCTATTAACATAAATCAAATTATTAATCCGTTGAGTCAAGAAGATAGGGGGTGAGATTGTAAAAATCAAATAATATTAATTAAATATTTCAATATATAAATATATTACATTAAACGCTATATTAATATTAATTTTAATTATTAAATCATCAATTTCTCTATACGTGAGATTGCGTGTCTGTATTCGTTTAAATAAATTTCATTAAATAAATAATCTTTAATACACACACACACACACAGAGATCATATTTAATAATAGAAAATTTTCATTTAAACTGTAAAAAATTTAAGAAAATAATCATAATTATTAATTAATATCGATGAGATATAATTATTACTAAGATTGGGATTGATTATCAGTCTTGAAAGTAAAAATAGTTAAAAAGAGAAAATTCATCGTAGATACGAAAGTTACATGAAAGAAGGGATGAGGAGGAGGGGTGGGGTGGGTGGGAATTTTCGGGTCTGGGAAGTTAGGGTTTTGTTCCGGTTCACGTTCTATCCTTTTCTTTCCTGATACAGACAATGCTAGCAATTAGTAACGCGTAAGATTTTAGCCTGGAGGCTTTAGAGAAAAAAAAGAAAAAAAAAAGAATAAGGGAAAGAAAGAAAGAAAGAAAGAAAGAAAAAGATCCTATGATTCTCGAGTACATCGCATTCAGCAGCTAGTCGCTTTTTCGTTTCCTTCTCGACCCCAAACCACCCCTTCCAACCTCACCCCCTTCTCTCCCCAAAAAACCAGGCAACACTCATACAACCAACACTCGCAACACTCACAGTCACATTTCGCGTCACGATATGCAAGAGAGATAGAAAAGACAAAAAAAAAGAAAAAAAAGGGGGTCACGAAGCTTTCCTTCTAAGATAAGGGGCGCATCTTTAATTTTTATCTGCGAACAATCACCTTCGTACGTTTCGTTTTAAAACTCTTGTAAAAGAAAAAAAATTTCTCTCCTTCTCTTTTCACTATTTCCAATGGATTTATTTCTTTCTTTTTAACTTTCTTAATTTCTTTTATTTTTTCCTTTTACTTATCAAGTGTTGGATCGACGATAAATACTTATTGTCACTAGTTTCGTGTTACTATGAATGTTTCAAGAAATTCATAGGATGAAGTTCCCATGGGGGAAAAAACGGGGTTTCAAAGTTTCTATGTGATCTTTCTTTCTTTTTTTTTATTTTTTCTTCTGGTAAATATAATTCGAGTACATATAAATTATAATCAAATGAATTAAATATAATTAGATTTTAATATTGATTATAATATTAGGATTATAGGATAATTTATTTTCAATGTGAATATATTGCGAAAATTATATATATATATTATAATAAATTGATTTGATATATATATATTATTATAAATTGATATAAATGATGATGGTACGTGTGTAGATAAACGTCGCTTTTAGGCAAATCTTTGGCAAAGAGATTGTTGAACGTATAATAACGTTTTATTTTACCCGACCAATTAATCGTATTTCAACGGCGTCGAAATTAGCCAGAGAAAATTCATTAATTTTAGTAGGAATAACGTTGATTGTGCTTGTGTACATAGGGGGAGAAGGGGGTAGGGGAGGGTGGAGGGGGACGACGACGACGACGTATGAGGTATTATTTTTGAAAGTTGTCTGACATATCCATTCGAATTAAAATCAATATGATACATTAACTACAGAATCGAGTAATATGAACTTTCCTCATTAAAGAAAAAAAGAAAGAAAGAAAAAAAAAAAATAAATAAAATATAACGGAGATAAAATTTATTGGGATAATATATATATATATATTTTTTTTTAATTTCTTTATGATCGTGTGTAAACAGCAGTACGTAAATCAACAAACAAACAAATATATTGCGTAACAATGCGATACTACACACGTAATTGAAAAGAAAAAAATAAAATAAAATAAAATCGTTGTATATAATAAATTGAACAGTTTAAAAAACTAGAAACGTTATTTTGATCTAATTGATCAAACATATTACAACATGAACAATAAGATCAAAATAATAATTTTGTATTTTTCAAAGAGATGGATAAACAATTAATCGATTGTATGTAATGTATAATATTTATTTTTTGAAATTGGAAATATATTTTGTTTGCATCGTTTTTTCTTTTTTTTTTACAACTTTCAAAAAAAATAATGTGAAATTATTTTGGGAAAAAAAAAAGGGGTTAGAAAAGTGGTACTACATGGATACGCCGCGGCATACGAATTTAACGAGTAGTAAGTAGTAAGCTAAGAAAGTGGGTCAGACCAGACGGATCTGTTCCTGCTTTGTGTATTTGTGTCAGTATGTCAAGGTAACTGATATCTTTTCTCTGTCACGTGAACCAGTCGACTGCCGCGTTTAAATAAAAAGAAGAGAAACAACGGGATAAAAAAAAACGAGAGAGTGAGAGAGAGAGAGAGAGAGAGAATTACGTATAGATT